AATTAGTGGTTACTATTATCCAATAAAATTATTAATAAAAATATAAGCAAGGCCTCACCTTAATATCAAAAAAAAAAAAAAAAAAGTTTTGACACTCGTTTCTTGTATTTTTATTATTATTATTATTTTCTTACAATTTGAATGTCAATCAATGTAAATTTTCCAAATTAGAACAATAAAGTTTGCTCAACTTGACTAAAAGTTGAGACAAGTCAAGTTTCAAATTTGGTTTATATATGTATTATGCAATGTATTCTTTGTATATTTTATGCATCTCTTATATATTTTTATGCATCTCTTACATATTTTTATATACATCTTGCATATTTTTATGCACTCCTTGCATGTTTATGTATAATTATGTAAGTGATATATAAAAATATACAAGAGGTAAAAACATTGCTCTAGAGTAGGTTTGATTTCAAAAAGTTCTTGCTAAGTCAACTCAAAAACCAACTCCAATAAGCTTTTTAACAGTCCTATAGATAAAATTATTAGTTGCATAAATTAGAATCCTGACAGCCTAAACTATCTAAAACTTGTGTAAAGCAAAGGTTGTATTTAAAAGCACTAATGTTCTCTACAAAATATTTTAAATAATAAAATCGTCTTGAAATTTTTCTGAAACACTCGATACTCATTAAATTTGCTGTAATCTCAATAAATTGCAGGAAATATCATAACAACATCTTTTGCCATTCTACTCATTAATTTATAAACATGGTTAAATATATATTGGTTTTATTGTTATTTATTGAAGTATCTTTTGCTTCTACCCTATATACTCATATAACTCATAGTATATCACATGTTGCCTTCAGCAACTATTTATCCTTTTCCGCCGGCTTAATTCTTACTTGCTTTTCAACACCTTTAGCCGATGATAAAACCTTCTTAGCTAAAGTTAAAAGATTTTTAACCAATAGAACATCAGCGTGCACACAACTTAGTATATTAGTAATTTTTATGACATTTATAACAACCAAATTCTTCTCAGATAATAACGAAGAATTACCTAGATTAATTTACGTTTATTCAA